AAAAGTAATTTATTCTTCTACAAATAATATCAGTGTAAGCAAAAGGCATACTTTTCAGCTGAACATGTCATCTTCCCAAATTGGAGGGATTATTATCTTCCAGGAGATTTTCTCTCTCTTCCACTACAAAAAGGGAAAACAGTGCATTGGCCACTATTTTGTAAACAGATCGTAAAAAGCACTAACCATACAGAAAAGGATTGGTAAGTGGATTTCATTAAAATTAAAAAGCTCTGTCAAGCCACAGAATGGGAGAAGATATAGGAAAACGTATTTGACAAAAGACTCATTTCCAGACTACATACAGAAATTCTACAAATCGAAAAGAAAAAGATAGAGTGACCCAGTTTAAAAATTGGGCAAAAATCTTGAACAATCACTTCACAAAAGAAGATATCCAAATGACCAAAAAGTGCACAAATGTGCTGAGTAGCTTCAATCAACAGGGAAATACAAATTGAAATGACAATATGATGTCACTGCACAACCACCAGAATGGCTAAACCAACCATCCAATCAGCCAGCCAACCAACAAACATTTAACAATGTCAATAGATAGTGAGGACATCTAATCGATGGAAGGACAACTAGAATTCTCATACTCTGATGGTAAACTGGGACAACCACTTAGGGAAACTTTTTGTCAGTATCTGCTATGACTAAACATACTCATCCTCCATGACCTTGCAATTCTCATCCTAAAATTTCACCCAACAGAAATACATAAATACGTTCTTCAAAGGTCACGATTATGCCAGTATTATTCATAACAGCCCTCAAGCGAAAATTATCCAAACATTTTCAACCACAAATAGATAAAATGTGGTATATTCTTTCAGCAATTAAAAATAAGATTAATAAGAAGAACAAACTTCTGCATACAACAGCATGGAAGTATCTCTAAACATAATGTTGAGCAAAAGGAGAGAAACCCCAGAAAATACAGATCACAAATCAACTTACAGAAAGTTCAAGAACACGCAAAAATAATCCAGGGTTAATCAGAAAAGTGGTTGCTTTTGAGGATGTAATGACTGAGTAGATTAATAAAGGAGATTTATAGATCTCTATTCATGTTCTATAGCTATGTTTAGCAAACTCCAGTGCACATATGAATCTCCTTGGAAATCTTGCTGAAATGTAGATTTTGATTAAATAGGTCTGGGTGCAATTTAAGATTCTCCATCTTTAACAAGCTTCATGCCAAGGCTGCTCGGAAGTGGATCACACTGTGAGTAGCTAAGTTTGATATCTTCTTCTGAATGGTAAACACACAGGTTTATTTGTACAATTTCATCAAACTATGTTTATGAACTGTGCACTTTCTGTGTATATGTTATACTTCACTTCAAAGGTCTACTAAAACAAATACCTTTTGGAATGGAAACCTGAAGTGAAATTTTTAGCTATATTTTATAAGTGACACAGATAGAACTCAGAAACTGTAGTTTTTGATTGAAAGCAACAGACACTAACTTTGAAAAACTTAAGTCAATAGAATATCTATTAGAAATATATGGAGAATCTTATAGAACAGGAGGGAAAACTTAAGGATAACACTTGCAAATGAGCAGACTCAGGCAGCAGCAGAGGACCCAGGTACCAGGAACTCAACAGACTTGCCCGTGCACCACCGCTGGAATAAATGACCTCAATCACTTTCAGTCTTTCTGCCCCTCTATTCATAATCCAAATTCCAAGGAGGAAGTGCCCACCTGGCCTAACTTAGATGTACCTGCCCATTCTCCAAGGGAAGGCAGGGGATCTGATTACCATAGTATCAACAGATTCCATCTAAAGTGGGTGAAATATTTTCCAGAAGGCAACTGGTGCATGTTTTCAAAAGATGGTTGGAAAGATGACGAGTAAGCAAAGATGGTGGTGTGGAGTCAATCAAAAGAAAGATTCACTGAAGCTGCTTCTAATTTTACAGCCAGTCCTTATTTCTCCTCGCTATCATTGCTCCAGTAACTTTTCCAAGCTTATTCCCCTTTCTGAGATCAATTCTGTAGCAAAGGGTGGGTGTGTGTGTGTGTGTGTGTGAGATGGCAAGGTAGGAGTAGTCACAGGTCAGCATTTATACAGTAGAGTAAAATGTTTACGATTGCTACTGCTGACTTGATTCACTCTGGGGTGGTTTAATGCTTTCAAGGGCAATTCTGGAAAGAGCTTAGGCAATAAAAACAACAAGAAGAAGTAATCATTAGCCATACTAGAGAGAGTAGAACGTCTTCCTTATTTCTGATTGGTTCTCAAGGCAGGTGTTAGGTGTGGTGTAAACATGGATTGCTAGTAGGGCATTTTCTTTCCTCAGTTCCTTTAGTGGAAGTAGGTTGTAGCCAGAGTTGCGTTAAGTTTCTTACAACTCTTGAGTAATGATGGAATCCAGTTGTTAATCTATGCCGTTAGTTATCCCAGAAGTTATTAATTTAAAGTAATGGTCAATTGCCTCTTTCCCACCATTTAGGAAACTCTGAAAAGTGTTTCAGATCCATCTGGGTAGAAAGCACAGCATAGGCATAAGATCATTATCATCCATGACACGTTCAGATCATATTTCTTCCACATTTTGTTAGTTTCAATGAACCAGGGACTGCTAATGAATGATTTCCATTGGATAATTTTGTTTTTTCTGTTTCAAGTTTCAAGATGCCTGTCTGGATTTTATTAGCATTGCAATGATTTACCCACGAGGGCTTTGTTTCTTAATTTGATTGGAAAAGGGACATAGGGAGGGTGGCTGCCTTTGTGGGAAAGGAGACTTTTTTTAACCCCATGATGATGGTATATGTGTGTGGGAGAAGTTTGAGCTGTGCAATTTTCATTTGCAGTTAGCTTTGTTTTATCTGCCTCAAACAGGTAGGTGTAAATTGCTGCAAACTTATTTGCCAGTTGGACACCAAGTCATCAGCATTTTATTACTCATGGCAAATTACTGCCATGAAAGCAAAAATGTTTAAATGACGGATTGGAAAAGTGTCTGAAATACCCATGGAAGAGAGAAAAAGCTAATTTTTGAGACTAATTTTATCTATTTCTTTCTTTGTTTATATACTATTGCTTAGTTTGATCCTTTAGAACTATTTAGAACTATTTAGTTCATTTCATCATGTTCTTTTTCTTCCTTGCCCTAGGATAATAATTTCACAGGTATAAGTAGTTCAATCAAGCCCAAGTTATTTTATCAAGTTGGCAGACTATGACATAAATATAGTATCAAATGGTCTTTTTTTCTATGGATTCATTTGTTCTTTTTGCTAACCAATGTCACAACTTTTTTTTTTTTTTTTGAGGAAGATTAGCTCTGAGCTAACTACTGCCAATCCTCCTCTTTTTTGCTGAGGAAGCCTGGCCCTGAGCTAACATCCGTGCCCATCTTCCTCTACTTTATATGTGGGATGCTACCAGCATGGTGTGCCAAGTGGTGCCATGTCCACACCCAGGATTCGAACCAGTGAACCCCAGGCCACCAAGAAGCAGAACGTGCGAACTTAACCGCTGCGCCACCGGGCTGGCCCACAACTATTTTTTTTAAGAGAACTATTTGATGGGATAAAGTGATGTATCTCTAAGTTAACTAGCACCTCTATGTTCTCTCCTACTACTCACATCAGTGGACTCATCAACTCCTTGGAAGACTGAAGCCTTGCTAGCTGTTGGTACTGTCACACTCTGGAATTCCTAATCTACATTTTGATGGAACCCAATTTAATGAGATCTGATGTTGTAAAGTTAGTTTCTAATGTAAGTCTAGCATATTCCCAGGCTAGAGATCATGGGTAGTCATGTTGTGGTCATCTTAACCTATTTAATTGATTACACGTCTAGCTACAGAACCACTTCAGGGTGAGGATAATTAGACTTGTGGTTTGTCACATTCAGCAAGAACATGCAGGGACACTTGGAACCCACAGCAGATTGCCTCTCCCAACAAATGTAAATCAAGAAAGTGTTTTTTAAAAAAATCAATCAATTAAAACTATTCTTTTTTTTTTTGGAGGAAGATTAGCCTTGAGCTAACATCCACTGCCAATCCTCTTCTTTTGGCTGAGGAAGATTGGCCCTGAGCCAAACTGTGCCCATCTTCCTCTGTTTTATTTTATATGTGGGATGCCTGCTTCAGCATGTGGTAGACAGCATTCTATGATGGCCCACAAGATTCTCACCTTCCTGGTGTGCGTGCTCTTTTTCATCTCCTTCCACTTAATTGTGAGCAGGATTTGTAAACGTATTGGTATATCATTCCAATGATTATGCTACATTACTAAGCAAAAGAGATTTTGCAAATATAATTAAGGTCTCTAATCAGTTGACTCTGATTGGGGCTGATGCAATTAGATGAGCCCTTAAGGAGACAAGGGGCAGTGGCAGAAACTCTCCTGTTGGCCTTAAAGAAATGAGTTGTCATGAGTCCTACAGCCACAATGAACTGAATTCTGTCAACGATCTGCATAAATTTAGAAGACAACCCTGAACTCCAGATGAGAACCCAGCTCTAGCTGACATCTTGATTTCAGTCTTTTCTGACCCTGAGCAGAGAACCTGGGCGAGTCATAGCCAGATTTCTGACTTGCGGAACTGAGATAACAAATGGGGATTGTTTTAAGCCAGTAACTTGTGGTGGTTAGTGCTATAGCAGCAATAGAAAATTAATACAATCTTGATGCATATTATGACTAGAGCTGCATATTCAAATGTACTATACTCATAGCTCCCCTACATTTTCTGTGTAATCTTTTCGACAGCATACAAAGTAGAGTAGTCATCCACATTTATCCATCATTTCTTGCCTGTAAATGTGGGCGGCCACACTACTTTGCCCATTGCTGAAAAGATTACACAGAAAATGTAGGAGAGCTTTGGTACAGTGCTTGGCTCAGGGGAAATACTCAATAAATGGTTGCTCTCATTATTGAGCCAAGACCTTGTTGATGGCCACAGGCAAAGCAACTCAGAACTTTTATATACCATGATTGTCAGTTAACTCAGTTCTTATTTACCTGATGAAGAATGAGCAACACGTTGTGGCACAACTGCTGAAACCTGCGGCCGACATGTGGTGGAAGCCCATACGTCATAACCCTGGACTTCTCCTGCTTGACAAAATGGTGGAGCAAAGAAAAAGATGGATTTGATTATTGGTCCTCAGAGTGTTGCCACTTGGATATTCTCATACCACCTGAGGGTGCTGGAGAAGAAAGTTCAAAAAGGCTGTAACTATAATCTCTTGCCATCACATATAAACTTCATTTAATCATCTGTAATGTCTCCACGGCTAAAAGGGGAAAGGGGCAGGGCAACATTGTTTTTGGAGGGAGGGGAGAACATTCCTGGAAATATCTAAGCTTTAGGCTTCTCAAGTGAGGCATGGGAAAAACATGCAAGGACAAAAAATCTGTGTTTATTGCACTCGACAAGTGGCTAAAAATTTCTCCTGGGGGCGAAAAACCCTATGATTTCCACCTAGGGCAATTCAAGGCAACAGGATTGAATTGTTTTTTGTTATGGAAAGCTGCTTTTGCCCATAGATGTGAAAAAAATAATACTTATCCTCCCTGGCTTGTTCTTCTGCAAGAATTATTGGTTTCTGAAGATGCTGGTCGCCACAACTGAATAAGGATAAAGAAGGCCCATGGAAAATTTTCACTTAAGTTCTGCTTGTAATGCCGCTAGAGACTGCACACTGGGAGATGAAGGAAGAGAATATTTGATTTATCTAAATGTTCTTAGAATTTCTTGGCCTCTAGTATTCCAAACTTTAGAGAAGTCTTTAGATTACTTTATCCTCTTTGGGCATGTATAGAAAGCAACGGGGGTAAGAGGAGGTCATTTTGGTGGAGTAAGAGTTTGCTTTGCAGTCTATGTTTATAACGGTTATTTTTAATTTCAAACATTAAGAAATTTAAAAAGTATTCCTAAAGGCATAAACTTTTCTGGAGTTCTCCTACCACTAGCACTTTTGTTAATTATATAACTTAAGAAGAAGGGCACCTACCCCCTCTCCCACACACACTAGGGACAGTGAGAAATAAATGCTATTTTGTTCTAAATAGTGTCATTTTTTTTTTAATCTGGATCTTGTTACCTTGATCTATGCAGAAAGAAAACATTTCTTATTGAAGTGGCCAATCCAGGAAGCTCACCATTCTTTTTTTCTAACTACACTAAAGTGTATGATATACAGAACAAAGTCAATATCCCCTTGTAGACGTGAGCATGAACATTACGTGTTTTCTATGAGTGTGTATGTATATGGAAAAAGCATAGCAACAGCTATCTGAAGCACATGAGAAGGGCTAGCTGCCCTCCCACTCTCTGTTTTGTTCAGAACTTTAAGCCTTAAGACAAATATCTCTTTGTTTTTCTCCTTTCATATCCAATTCCAAGCTCACTAGGGAAGTGAGGATAGGACTGCACAAAACTCACTTTGTCTCAGCTAGAGCTGTAACACATAGAAGACATACAACAAGCTTTGCATGCTTAATTTTTTCTTCATACTTCAGAAGACACCTGCCTGGAGGGCTTGCTGCTAATGGGCTGCAGAAGGCGTGGGTCATTCTTCAACTTCAGTAGCCCCGTATGATGTCCAGTTGAAGATCAGTGATTCCAGAATGGTTCACTTGTCTGAGTCTGCTTACCAAGCAGCTTCTTTCAGGACTGCCTTCTGCCTCCAGTGTCTTTTAAGCTGGAAAGAAAGAGTTACCCTTGTGGACTAGACAGCACTACATCAAGGTGAATTCTTGATAACCAGCTCTGTTCCCCCTTCTACCTTGTAAACATGCTAATTTAAAGAAGCTTCCTTCTGAAGATCAAGGGAGGAAGAATTCTGCAACCAGTGCCAGCAATTGCAGCCACAACTCATTCCAGTCACTTCCTGAATTTTTTGCTAGCTCATTTCCGATAGTCTGGTGAAAACCTCATGACTTGAAACCTCTCAACATCTAGATATTAAGATTGTCCTCAACAACAAAAGCAGACACCACAGAGTTATCTGTGTCACAGAAAATCCAAAGCTTGACTCTTTCTTGCCTCCTAGGGCATTTTAGCACCATACTAGCCACAACTCTCCCCTCATTCACAGTGGAATTCTGAGAGTCTCCTTAGGAGAACGTTGCCTCTCTTCCACATTATTAAAGAGTTTTGTCCTTTGCAAGGTGTATACCATGCAAATACATAGTTCTTGGTGGTTGAACTTACACACACATACTATTGTACTTGGGTAGAAACCAACTTGCCGTATCCACACTACGGTTCTTCTCGACAGCTCTGTTGAAACATGTAAAACTAGAGACTAAGTCTCTGCTTCCTAGGTAGCTGTAGGCTTTAGAAGAGTGGATTTTCTCGGGTTTCAAAGGTAGGATAAAAATATTTCCTTGTAAACTACCCATGTATAAAATCCATGAATTTTATGCATTTATTGCTCCATTCATTTTTTAAAAATCTGGACCAGGATATAGCCAAGTGAAATTAAACAACTAAGGTCAAGGGGAAAAGGATACAGGGGTTGTAGGGTCTCACATATTTATTATGGTTGAAGAGCTAATTTAGCACTGAGTTTCCTATCGGCCAGGAAAAAGGAAACGAGAAGGGCAGTCAGTTCTTCCCAACCTGAATGGGCCTCAGAATACCTTGGAGCATTTTTCAATAATGAGATTCCTGGGCTCCTCCCCCTAGATACTTGCTCAACCAACACTTCCAGGAGGGCACCCAACATGTCTATGCTTTTTCTAAGATCCCCAGATGAATCTGATGTTCAGCTGATTTTGGAAATCAGGAGGTTAAAATGACTTGCTTTTGTTTTTTCATAAAAAATATAATACCAATTCCTAAGAGAAGTAGAATATTCCAGAACTTAGATCTCCTTATGACGACTCACCTAACTCATTTCATAAAGCCCAAAATGATATAGGGAAAGATCTATTCAACAACATGTCCAATATGGTACGTTTCATAAAATATGTTTTCAGATCCTTTGAATAAAGTTGAGCTAATTAAACCAAAATATAAATGATAAAAATACCTTTACAAGGGTAACAACGATAAGATTTAGAAGCTTGCATAATAGTATGCAGATTTTCTGAATGAAGATTGTCTTTAGGATAATCTGAATACTTTTCAGATGCAAAGAGTTGTCCCCATTTATATGTTTTTTCTTCTTGGGGAAAAATCCTAAAGGGTGAGCTATCGAAAGATAAATTTCATAATTACCATAATTACACACACTATTACGGCACTAAAACATGAACATGGTAGGAAAAGAACATCAGCTAAAGTGGACAGGCTCATACTCTTTCTTCCAAAGCAATTTCTCCCGCGAGTTCTCCTTTCCATAGGCAGCCTTGTTTATCCTTGTCTGTTCCTAGTCCTTCTAGTGCTGCCCCCACAACTCCAGAGGATGTTCACAGAGACTCTGGGCTTGTCAATTTTACACATTAATGATTGACTCTCACTAGGTAAGAAGAAGATATGACCTACGTAAAATATCTCACTTCACTACCTTATCATCAACACTTGACAGGTAGAGCAAAATACTATTTTTAGTTCTTTGCTTGGTGATCTTATAATTTTAAATGACGTTTCTTAAAAGGCCATTTCATCGTTTATTATTTGTGAAGGCATCTCTTTGCTTTCCTCTATATAAGATGGTGATTTTGAAGCCCTTAACCTTCCTTCCTACGTTCCTCCCCAACAGCCTTACCCCTCCCCGCTTTCATGTGTCAGCACAGATAAATCACTTCTAGACTATAATGAAATCTTTTACGTTTTGTCTATGGGTTGGGCCTAAAATACGAAAACCTAATACACATTATGATTCTAGAACTAATGTCCATTGCAGAACCAATAGGGTGCCACAGTTATGTTTTCTTTTCTATTGACTCACTTTCATGATGCCTGTGCAAGTGAAGAATGCCCCTAATTTCCAGGTTGATCATATTCTCTTCGTTTAAACTCCTTTTGTGGAACACATTCATAATCACACCATTTTGTGGTTTGCTTCATAACTGTCCCAAGATATTCTTTGTACAACCTTGGTTTGTACAACCTTATTTTTAGGTATGTAATTGCCTTTTTACTTTTTGAAAGATGCCTCTTCACTGTCTCACCTATAACTTCCTTTTTGTATACTCTCTATCTATTACTTAGAATTCACTCTTTTCTTTATCTAGGGACCCTCTGATTTCCTATTTTATTTTTGGCCAGTTGGTTTTTCAGGCAGCTATGATCCAGGAAATATCAAATAAATTCTCCTGGGATATTGTCATCATTTTTTTAATCAGGTGTCCTCCCCTCTTTTGATATTCATATTTATTTTCTTGAAGTATATTGAGTAATATCATCAAGGATACATGGAAGGTAAATTTTGTAAATCCTTAAAGATCTGAAAAAAAAAATCTGCTTTTTACATCTTCTACACAAAAGATTTGAGAGTCTGAATAAAAAGCATGGTAAAAAATAAAAATTTTATTTTTAATAAACAAAGATCCTAAATTTCTTCCTACAAATACTGAGCATTTTGTCTATTAATGATGAAGGAAACTGACAGATGTCTTAAAATAATATACCCAGTAAACCTCAGTGTGCAAATGGATTCATAGCTACATTCTTTTAATTATTCAAGGAAAAAATAATTCTGATGCTCTTAACTAACCCAAGGCATGGAAAAAGAGAAGCATCCAAATTATTTTTATAGACCCAACATAATGTTAACATCCTAAACTTACAAACTCCAAAACTAGAAAAATATAGATACGTTTTACTTTTGAATAGTGATGGAAAATCTTAATCAGTTACTAGCAAGTAAAATTCTGCTGAGCATTAAAAACTGAAATATTCTAACCAAGTGTGGTTCATCACCATGGCTTCAATATAAAAAATTTATTCATAAAATGCATCTCCAAAGCAAAGGAGAACATTATTTATGAATATTTCAGTGAATGTGGGGAAAAATTTGACTACATTCAACATCTATTTTTGATTAAAATTTATTTTAATAAAATAGGAATAAATTATATAATATCATATATAAAGAAATAAATATATAATTATATGTATAAAGGAAACACAATATTATATATATGTATATGTCAATAGAACTAGACAAATGAAAGAACAGCTAAATGTAATAGGAATAGGAAAAGAAAATTGTAATTATTTTCATCTTCTATCTTACATACTTAGAAATCTCAGGGAAATTATCAGGAATTATTACAAACAAGAGAATTTAATAATGAGGTCAGTTACAAAATTAACAATAAAAATGGTAATTTTTCTATATAGAAATATTAAAAATATAAGGGAAGGAAACAAATCATCTACAGCAGGAGTCAGCAAACTTTTTCAGTAAAAGGCCAGATGGTAAATATTTTAAGCTTTGCGGGTCATATGGTCCCCTTGCAATTACTCAACGCTAAGCAGCCATAGATGGTATGTAAATGAATGGGCGTGGCTGTGTTCCAGTAAGCTTTATTTAGAAAAACAGGCAACCCCTCATCTAAAATAACAAGGCAATATATAAAACACCCAAGAACCTTAACAAGACACATTGATCATCCATTTAAAGAAAACTAAAACTCTACCAAGAGAAAAAAGAAAGTTATTTTGTGCTCCTTTATAGCAAGACTCAATGCTATAATGATGTCAATTTTCCCAAATGAATTTACAAATTTAATACAATCCTTTTAAAATATCAACTAAAATTCATCTAGAGACCAATAGAGAAATGAAGAAATGACACGAAAGGGCAAATTAACAAAAAAGAACCATATACATAAAAAACAGATCTTTGTGGAAGTATAAATCAATGTGACCTGCTTAGAAGGCAGTTTGTGACATCTGTCAAATTTACAAAAGCACAATCCTTTTGACTCAATAATTCTGCTGATAGAAATTCATCCTACTGATGTGTCTGCAGATATTCACCAAGATACTTGTATTTTGTGACTTTTGGAACCACGCTCACATCTTACTTTGTTTATATTGTTAACGTCAGCAGGGTCATCTTGGCAGGCTAT